TTTCTTTCTTTCTTTCTTTCTTTCTTTCTTTCTTTCTTTCTTTCTTTTTCTTTCTTTCTTTCTTTCTTTCTTTCTTTCTTTCTTTTTTCGTTTGTTTGTTTTTAATTATGTCAATAATTTTAGAATAATATTCTCTTGTTTGCCTCCCAGTATAATGAAACATGGATGTTTAATAATTGCACTAAAGCAACATGTGAGGGGAACAACCGAATTGTTATGGTGCCGCTCCCACAAGCTGAGAAGAACAACTGTGCCAGTGGACTTGAACCAAAGAAAATAGTGAATAAAGATGGTTGCATAGTACGCTATGAGTGTGAATGTAAGCAAAATAGATTGCAGTACAATATTCATATTTACAAAGGAGTAAGATCTGTCAGGTTTAACTCCATCTCCTTTCTGCAGCTACTTGTAGCATTCCAACTTTGGTTCCTGGAAGAAAAATATGTATATTTTAATATTATGTAACATGCAATTATCTCATATATATCTGCATGTATATATCACCTATAGCAGGGGTATCAAACTCATGTCATCACAGCGGAGTCACGTGACATATCAGGACTTTTTTCCCCTTCGCTAAACCAGGCATGGGCGTGGCCAGCGCATGACGCATTCAGCCTGCAGGAGTTTGACAGCACTGACCTATAGCATCAGCTAAGTTAGGACTTATTCACTCATTTTCATGGTTACAAGACAGCTCTGTAGTCCTTCAAATGTCATGGATACTAATTCTTTCAGTGGTGAATTAAATATCCTTTGTTAAAAAAGACTGCACACTTAATTGTGTACTTTTTAATTTTTTCTTATAGGTTTCTGTAAGGGTTGGGACCATTACAATTTTATGACTTTTGACGGCACTTCTTACACTTTTCATGGCAATTGCACTTATATCTTGGTGAAAGAGATTGTGAATAAATACGGAAACCTCCGTATTTTGCTTGACAATGACTTCTGTGATGTAGCTGCTAATCAACCCTGTTCCAGAACCCTGTTAATATATTACAAGTCTATGGAAGTCCGACTAACTAGTGAAATACATGAAGGAGTGAGAGTTAACAAGGTAATGTGTCACAGGTTTAAAAAATAATAGTGAAAGAGATAGTTATGATAAGACAATATTGCAAAATAGTTGTTGAATCTTATAGTTATCAAGAGAAAAGTATTTGTTTTTCTTTTTAAATGTTGAACTATATTTAGGACAGACCAATTACTCTAACCTTAATCTCAAAATAAAGTTTATTTATGGTGTATTTTCCCCCCCTTACAAATAAATTTCATAAAGTTCAGATAAATATCTTCCTAGAAACAATGCCATTAGGCCACACCTTGGGGAAATTAGAAGCTTCCAGATGACTCACAGAACCACATAATGTTGGAAGAGTGGCCCAGGAAGTGTTTTTTATAGCTACTTCCAGACTACCACTAAGCACCATTTTAAACTGAAGCCATTTCCAATGTGAAAAGAAGCCTACCAAATCAAAATACTGCCCTTTGGAAAAGATGTTTGATAGGGACAGAAGAGCATTCACACATCCAGCCCTTCACATTCTAGTTGCCCATTGATTATATGCCTTCGGAAGCTGCAAGCCTGAACAGTTCAGCCAGCTGCATTTATACTCAGGGAATTTTTTTTATTGCCAATTATGTATGGTTGCAACTTCAAACAGTTGGGCATCATTTGTTGGACAATTAGTTCCCAAAATACTGCCAAACTATTTACTAAGACTGTATCACTATTATCCTTCTCATCCTTCTTATTACCTATTCTACTTATTACTATAATTTTGTTGCTTGTATCTTTACAATTTATATTGTTTATTTAGTTTCCTAATATGATTTATGTTGATTGCTTATTTAGTATTCTATGACTATCACTAAGTGTGGTATCTTATGATGCATAATGAATGTATTTATGATGATTATGATCATGATTTATCACTTATATCTTTTATGTATACTGAGAGCTTATGCACTGAAGACAAATTCCTTATGTGTCCAATCACACTTGGCCAAAAATAATTCTATTCTATCATTGTATAATATAGATGAAGAAACATACATATGGGAAACACATACAGAGATACATACATACATACATACATACATACATACATACATACATACACAGTCTGTATGTGTATATGTATGTGTACGTTTGTGTGTGTGTGTACACACACATACTTATACACATATACATGCATGTGTGGAAAGATAGATAGATAGATAGATAGATAGATAGATAGATAGATAGATAGATAGATATGGAGATGGATAAACATATACAAATAGCTTTTTTCTTTTTCTTATTATAATGGTTAATTTTCAATTCGATTCACAGTCTGGGACTGGTAAAAACTTAACAGTTCAAATCCTAACCAAGGACCTAAGAGCTGTTAAGGCAATGCCTCGGTATGTTGGCAGTTCCGAGTAAGGTGGTTTGTTGCAAAGTCAGAATATTATTATTATTATTATTATTATTATTATTATTATTATTATTATTA